GCAGATATACAAGCGGATCTGTATATTTTTTGGTAACTGTGGAAGTTAATTGTGGATGATGTTGTTAGTTTGATGTTTGATGCATCAAATAGTGATTCGTCATTATTCATCGGTGGGTTGTTGGAAGAGTTGTATGATTGGTGGTTTGTTGGATGCTTGTTGGAGGTTAGTGGCATTTATTTAGGTTGTGGTTTGTCGACCTGATTATTGCACGCGTGGTCGGGATTTATGGACTACTCGGGCGTCACAGATATGTTTTGATGTGGTAGAGTGGAATTTTCCAAACAGTGTTTTGCGAAAGTTTGGATGGAGACAATTCATACCTGTGCCATGTGATTCCAATCAGGAGCTGCATGCCATAAATAGGCGTGGCAGACATGGTTATGACTGGACTATTGCACATCAGCATGTGGGATCAGCGACGAGATTATATTGTTCAGGGCGAGCCTTTGCTCGACATGATGGATGTCGTTGATCCCTACATGGAATGGTATCGGCGCATTACTCGTCTACTTATCGAACCACCGATGTCGTGCCCTGACGTTGATTTTCAGCCCGTCGGGAGTATTATCGAGCTGTTGGAATATGTTGTTCAATTCGTATATACATTAAATGTGATATAGAAAGTACTTAATATTTATGTTAATCCTTATTATATGGTAATGTAGGAACAGACAATTACACAAGTGTATCACACAGCTCGTGAAACAGTTAGTGGGGAGCCTGATTTGGGGAAATGTTTGGCAGCCATCAGGCAGATGGGGGATATTAGCTATCGTTGTTTGTCAGCTCTTTCTGAGCACTATAGACTTGTGCAGCCACCGGCGGACATTCAGCATCCAGTTGTTGAAGCCCCAGTGCATGCACGACAGCGGGGTGTACACATTCCTCGGCCGCCAATTACACGTGCACGTGGGCAGACTCCACCACCAGTTGTGGATACTGCTGCGACATCATCAGAGGCAGGGCCATCGGCGACATATGTAGAGGCAGACCCATCGGCCACATATGTTCCCCAAACATCTATAGAGGCAGGCCCATCTACCCTATATGTCCCGGTTTTTGATTTTGACACCACTACACCGGTCGTTCACCATGCTGCATCATCACAGCTCGCTCGTCCTACAGTTTCTACATGTGGGCCACCGCTGACCGCACCAGGTGTTAATGCATTGACGACTCCAGTCACATCTGCACCAGAGCCAGTAATTACACCAGATTCAACTATTCCAGATACAAGGGCATGTATTCCACGTGTTGTTCCATCGATGCCCACACGACCTACTTCTCCTATTCCATACGATGACAGTTCCAATGATGCTAAGGTTCCAGCTGAGGGAGTTACACAAGAGTCATCATTGTCACACAGAGGTCGAGGCAGAGGTTGACATGGAGTCGATCGTCATACACATCATCCAGTAAATGGTGGAGTCACACAAGATATACCGCCTCTGCCTGATGGTCAACGGCCCAAGCAACAGAGGAGACCACCACCTTGTAGGACGTAGTCTTTTTTTCTGTATTTTTGTTTTTTTACAATTTATCACTATTGTTGTTGTATATAAATTTTTTTGTGTTCATAGTTTCATATAATGTTAATTCCTTAATGTCTTTCAGATAATTTATCCAATACTCTAAAGAGATGTTTGTTGAATAACATAACAAAACTTATTAAAATTTAGAGGGTCATTACAAACCGGAATAGCACACCATATTTCACAGAAATAAAATACAAAAACATAATACATAAACATATGACAAACACAAGTACGACGATAAAAATGTAAATATTACAATACATGATTTTCAAGAGTACTTCTTCATGGGTCTTCATATTCGTCAGATACTTATAGGGGAATTTATTTATGTGACTATGCCAGTCTACAGACAGTAGAACATTATGTGGTCACAGTCACTGACTACACAATAATATCTAATCACACTTACTGACATTGAACCATTGTGTTGTCACACAGACTGACATTTAACCTGTGTTTAGTCTCAGTAACCTAGTGTGTTGTCACAACGACTGACAATGATGCAATTATCAATGAATGTACCTACTATTTATTTAGCAGCATGCGTTAATGTAGACCCTACATTGCACTTTAATGCACTACTGTGTTGTCTTGTTCGACATCTTGTGACTACACAGTAGTTAATAGCCACAAACCCTAAGACTGTTAACGTATCACGGGTCGTGAATCAGTACAATCAATGGACTACATTTCTCAGTGTGCTATCATAATCACTGCATACTAGTGTCTATTTCTGCTGACAATTAACTTTACTCTATATTCACATGGACTGCACAAGTATCTTGTTACTGTTTGACCATCATCTCAAACATAAAGGTGACTACACACTACTACATTGCTAACAACTGTATTTATTTCAAACAATTAATACCACTATAAAAAACATAATATACTGTGAATCATATAACATGTATTGCATATTATGTCTACTTCTAGAGCACGAGCAGGAGCTACTAGCCTTCGGCATGACCCAGTATGGTTATTACAAGAGCGAGATGATGATTACAAAAGTGAAAGATTTTCTGATCAAAAAGAGTATTATGCTGGACTTCGTCGATAGTGGGCTTTTCGTGATAATGAATCATAGTCATTATGCACAAATCTAAGAGAAGTTGGTATATCGGTGCCACATAGACTTTCACTTATCATGCCCCGAAAGAATAGAGTTAATTACAAAGCAGTAGTTAAACGTATACGAAAGGAAAATAATAGGATGATGTTGCGTAAGTGCCGATATTATATGCTCCACATAGCATCTGACATGGTGACAACTGCATTTGGCAGGGAGTTAACAGCTACTGAGTGATCTAATGTATTGTCTAATGAACAATATCTATCAGATAAGTATATGTCTGATAAAAATTAACAAATATAATTAGTGTCCACCTTATTAACCATATAATGTTTATGTCTATGTCCTTTTACCTTTAATCAATATTGTGCATTTATGAGTTTATTCAGTGTATTGTCATATCTCAATTTTTTTCTTTCTCACATCTTCTCGTTGTCAAATCAGTTCTCAACATTGCAGTGTAATGTCTTATTTACTTTAATCTATCTTGTGGCTTTAACAAATCAATGCAGTGTGTTGTCATATCCCAACTTTTTCATTTTCATTTTGCATCATTGTCAAAATAGTTCCAAATTTTACAAATTGATGTCCTTTTACTGTAATTTTTAATTGTCAAACAGAGCATATATATACTACCATTCACAATTTTGTAAATGCACCACCACCAAATAAAATGTATATGAGCACATTACATGTAAGTTCTTCTTCACACAATGACCAAAATTGTTCATTTTCGGGTAATAAACGTGAACACTCAACGAACAGCTCAACATCGCTGAACAAAATCACCACCAAATAAAATGTATAGGAGCACATCACATGTAAGTTCTTCTTCACACAATGACCAAAATTGTTTATCTTCGGGTAATAAACGTGAACACTCAACGAAAAGTTCAACATCGCTGAACAAAATTCATTCTATCGAATCATATACTGATTCTACTGGTGTAATGTGGTATGGACAAAATCGTTCATTCCGCAATGAGTTCATCAACCCTTATCACCCATTCGGACAAGTTAGACATGTAATTGTTGACCCTGCACTGATTATCCACCATCGATCCTATAATGGTGGAAACAGTGTGGCCATTATTGTAGTCAAAAGCTTACACATTAATTCCCTCTTTTCCCACCCAAAGTGTGGGACCCATCAAGTCCAAATAAAGATGTTTAAAACTATATAGTATTTGAGAAGTTATTCAAATGTGTAAGACCAGATCTTTCATGAAATAGTGCAAAACAGATGAGTCTGCGACTGTAAATATGAAATAAATTAAAGGGTTAACCTCAATTTACACTCTACAAATATCCCTCAAATTTTAATTTACACTTTTANTTCCTCTTTTCCCACCCAAAGTGTGGGACCCATCAAGTCCAAATAAAGATTTTTAAAACTATATAGTATTTGAGAAGTTATTCAAATGTGTAAGACTAGATCTTTCATGAAATAGTGCAAAACAGATGAGTCTGCGACTGTAAATATGAAATAAATTAAAGGGTTAACCTCAATTTACACTCTACAAATATCCCTCAAATTTTAATTTACACTTTTAAAGTTTAAAAATATCAATTTATAGCTTGAAAGATTTAAAATCGTATCAATGTGTACATGGAATTAACGTGGTCCATTTTTTCATTAAAAAGGTTTTGATTTATTATAAATTATATCCTTCAAGTTTGATTATTTCATATTTATGATCTAAAAAGAATTCCATCTATTAATGGATGGAATTCTTTTTGGATCATAATTGTAAAATATTTAAAATTTGAGGGGTGCAATTTATAATTTATCCAAACTTTTTTAACGATAAAATATATGACAATTAGTCTCAGGTGCACATTGATACCTATTTATATATTTTAGAGTATAAATTAATATTTTTCAACTTTGAGGGTGCAAATTGAGATTTGAATTATCTTTCAAGGTGTAAGTTAGCCTTAAATAAAATGTAGATAAAGTATTTTTGTTCATATTTTACAATTTGATAATTTTATGTATATCAAATTTGTGTACCAAAATTTACACCAAATCAAATGCAATCGTTGGATCACTGATGGGCCTCACTGATCCAATGGCTACAAGTAATTTGATGTAAATTTTAGTGTATATGTTTTGTGCACATAATATTATTATTCATCATAGATATTATGTCACAATTTAATAATAAAAAAATTATTAACAATTTAGACGTTATTTGTTTGAAATATCGTATATAAAGAGCGGTAGCCACGTAAAAGACGGCAAGTCCCCACCCTGTGCAGTCAGTAATCCTGCACGTATGTACAGTGCAATTTAAAAATCGACCAAACACACAAGAACAGACAAGGCAGCAACTGATGATACCCTGCAACACACACCCAACAAGTTTTTTATTAGAAAAATACTCACTATGTTCCTTCTCAAAGTACACTCCTCTCAATCCCCTTTTTCTATATATATTTTTTCTTTGACATTTTCAATGGCTGATATATTTCTACTTCTTCAATAACAGACATGGAGATCAACAGCTTTTGGTGTCTATGGGTACCTCAATTTTACCAAATCTGGTTTCTTGTAAGTCCCAATTGATCATATATATGTATTCCTGTATGCAATTTATATCTTTACTAGATAATTGATTAAACATATGGATAGAAGATTCTCTCTTTCATTCTGTGTGTGTGTGTGGATGTAAATTATGCAGAGTCATGTAAATGGGTTTTTGCTTTTGTTACATAATGTACCAAGTTTAACCTGGAAACTAATGGTTGAATGATATAAGTAAGAATATTTCAATCAAAAAAAATTTTGGTGACTTCTATAGTTGGGTTCATTCTTGCTTTTCTAAATATATGTTTAAATGTGGGATTGCGGTCATTCCCGGATGGTTATAACCCTCCACAATGGAGCAGCATGTTGAAAGTTCGATTCCCCTCCCACCTTTTCTACCCCCCCTCCACCTCCCCCGTAGTGTAAAATATCATTGCCTATTAAAAAATTGTTGTTTAAATCTCTACATTCATAAGCAAATGTATAAGGTGGGGATGATACTGTGCTTATTTGGTGACTGATTTATTTTTAATCATGTCGTTGATCCTCATTGAGCAACTTGTCAGTAATGGTAGAATTTATAAGGAAATGTTGAGGCATGAGGATGCTACTATGCTTGTTAGGTGATTGATTTACTTTTAATCATGTCATCGTCGATCATTGGTTGTCTGTTTTATTTGGAAGTTGCAATTTACAATGACATATGCCCTGAAGTTTTATGTTGGGTAGTTGCCAATAGTTAAAATTGATCAAACTTTTCTCTTCATCTTGCTGTTTATTTATATTTTAGGGAACACTCAAAAAAATTCAAGGCAGAAGACATGCAAACACAAATAGAGGGGAAGAACTGCATTGTTACAGGAGCTAATTCTGGCATTGGTTATGCGGCTGCTGAGGGTCTTGCTTCACGGTTTGATTCTTGTTTCAACATTTGTTCAATGTTTTACTAGTTGCACATTTATTTAATGGACAATTTATTTTTTGAAATAATATAATACAGTCAATACATAGTCATTTTTGCCTTTTTCTCAGAGGGGCAACTGTCTATATGGTATGCCGTAATAAGGAGAGGGGAGAAGCTGCTCTTTCTAAAATTCAGTCTGCGACTGGCAACAAAAATGTTTACTTGGAGGTAGTTGGCTTCCCGTTCTTTTCTTAACTGGGTTCTTGTGAGCTCGTAGAGGAACTGTCTCTCATGATAGGAATTTGGTCATCATACTTTGTTTTTTTCTTGAGATGTGATGATTGGTAAAGCTAATAGATGTGCATACTTCTTCTTTATCTTGTGCTTTCACTTTTATTGGTGTGCTCATTATGGCTTGCAGGTGTGTGATATTTCTTCAGTCGGTGAGATAAAGTCATTTGCTTCCAGTTTTTCGTCAAAGGATGTTCCTATTCATGTGCTGGTAATGTTTTCATTTTTTTTTTAATCTATAATGCAACACTTTTTAAATGCAGAATATCATTATTGCTTAAGGTATATACATCAACTCTCTGAATGTTTTTTCGAGTCTTCTTTTCATCTCCGATTACTTGATAATTTCCACAAGCACAAATTCCACTTTTTATGGGGCCAAAAATTCTTTCACAAAATAATCTATCTTTTTCCGCTTAATAGGTTTTGTAATGAAAAGTATATTTTGTCACCTCTCCAACTCTGTCTCCATTAGGCAAGATTTTAGTGGCCCAAGCACTTATTTGTTGAGGAGAAACTGATGCAATTCAACAATTCACAATTTTCAGACCTTCGTGTCTTGCATCTGTACATGGTTATACATTTCAATTCTGTTTCATTCCTCCATTTTGGCGATTTCCCTTGTAACTTCTTCGTTATTGATGATACTATCTTAAAACTTACTCACTCTGATTATTTTAGGTTAACGATGCTGGTTTGCTTGAGCATAAGCGGATTATCACACCAGAAGGGTAAATTGTTCTTATTTGTGTTTAACATTGTGATTCCTTGTAATCTCTGCAGAATGCAGGTAAATTAATGCATTTCCTTTTCCTATAATCTATAACACCAGATATGAGTTGAATTTTGCTGTGAATGTACTCGGCACTTGCACCATGACAGAATTGATGTTACCTTTGCTGGAGAAAGCTGCACCTGATGCTCGTGTTATTACAGTTGCCTCTGGTGGAATGCATACGGCTCCCTTGACCAAAGATCTTCAGGTAGAAAATGTGTGCATATCACCCATTTGATTACCTTTGGTGCAGGATGGGAATTCTAATAACTTGCGCTAATGCAGTTTAGCGGCACCAATTTTGATGGGGTGGAACAGTATGCTCGGAACAAGCGAGTTCAGGTAAGTGCAACTGATGCCTTGTGTAAAGGATCTTTTTATACTTGCTTGTTTCACGAGGTCAAAGTAATATAGTCTCCAATCTTGAGGTGGACTACGAAAATGTTTGAGAGTACAATTGTTTTTGCTAGAATTTTGAGAAAACAAAGTAGCAATTTCTGTTCCTCATCATGCAAACGTCCAACTGTCTAAATTCTAGATATGCTTCGTTGAATAATGTCCCAACTACTTGAAACTAACCTATAACTAAGTTGAATAATGCATTGTTGACATTAGTGCTATGTGATTTGCCAACAAATCAACTTAGTGATGTTTTTTTAGGATACCATCTATTTGACAAATCTGCACTGTTTCTAATACTGTTGGAACTTGGAATGGGTTCTTTCCTGCAGTAAAGCAACTGCATCATCATGGTACTGCATCTCCGCTTCCTAGATAAAATCCAGGTTTTTTGAAAACACTTCTGTTGGCATGCGTGGATTATCACTATTCCCTAAGTGACTAAAAGGAAAATCATCACTTGACATTGAGATACAGTAACTGATTCCCCATTAATGGGGGACTAAATTGGGGGGTGTGTGTCTATAAATGATTTCCATCGTCTGAACTCGTCATGTCAAGATACAACTGAGGGTAGAAAACATCAATGACAAGTCTTGATCTGTATAGATTCTACCTGAAACTTGGTTGATGACTCGCAGATGATTCAAAACCTTCAACTGAAGCGGATATTGCTGTGTTCTAATAGTTCAGGATTATGCTGAACGTATTTATTACTGCAAGTATTGAGATAATATCGACCAATCATTCTCCTCAAGTCAAATGAGTCAACTTAGCTGTTTAAAATGGAACCCCCCCCCCCTTCTGCGGGCACACAAACAACCTGAAATTCATCACGACAGCCTTATAACGAGAAGAAGAATTTTTGCAGTGACAATCATGATTATCCACCTTTGTTCAATTTGCTTCTGCGGGCACACAAACAACCTGAAATTCATCATGGCAGCCTTATAATGAGAAGAAGAATTTTTGCAGTGACAATCGTGATTATCCACCTTCGTTCAATTTGCTTCTACAAATCATTCGAATTAGGATTTTCTCATGGCATTCATCAATGACCTGTTAATTTTTTGTAAAGCGTGTAACAGGATTGGCCACCCACAGCCCTTTAATGCTATTTTCACAATGATAATGCATATAATGCTCATAATCCTTCTCCAAATCATAATGCTCTTGTAGTTACTGGTTTTATGTCCTGCCGCGAATATTCTGTGCCTTATTACCTGAATTGATTCTTTGTATGAATGGCACAGAGTGATATCTGGTTTTGTAATATAGCTTATCTTCTTTCTTATGTTAGTGCTTTACCAGAAAATGTAATTATGTACTTCTCCATCTAGTGTAAGGAGAGCAATTTCACATTGTACAGAAGTGGATTGCTTGTCTTAACATCTGCCCGCGATTTATGCACCAATAAAAATAATTTGATGTGATTCATTTAAGAGGAACCTCTCAAGCTCAATTTGTTTCTATGTCAGGTGGCATTGACGGAAAAATGGGCTGAAATGTACAAGACCAAAGGTATTGGATTCTACTCCATGCACCCAGGTTGGGCTGAGACACTTGGAGTGGCCAAGAGTCTGCCCGGTTTCTCTCAATCATAAGGATTTTTGCAATTGATCATCGCTATTTATACTTCATTCATCATTCACATTAAGATATCCCATTCCAATGGCAATGTAAATTCTCTTTATTTTAATATTTTTGCATATTCACTCAAATGAAATATGAATTCACCTACTTGCATGTGATACTCCAGATTGTCAGGGAAACTTAGAACAAGCGAGGAAGGTGCAGACACGGTTATCTGGTTGGCTATACAACCAAAAGAAAAATTGGTACAGGTGCCTTTTATTTTGACAGAGCTGAAGCACCTAAACATCTCAAGTTTGCAGCTACTAGTGCCTCACATGCTGCTATAGACTTCATCATCGACAGTCTCCGTTCCTTGTCCTCTCTTTCTTCATGAAGTGGAAGTGTTGTACTTAATATCAAGGTCACCTTTTAGATTTGTAATCCCAAAAAGAGTGAAGATAACTTCATTTAGAACTTCTTTCAGTTCCAGGGCATTTGTTTTCTCATTTTTAGCTCAGGACAAAACCAGCATTCAGATTTTCTTTTTTTTTTGGGTTGGGGGGTGTTTGTGAGGTTGTTTAGCTTATACAAATCAATGATGTGCTAATATTGACCTGGGGTGTTAATTGAGCCAAGTTTGAGCTTAAGTCTATTGAGTTCGTTTTTCTAGACGAGGGTACAATTTTTTAGACTTATTTGAGGAAAAGTGTATGGATAAGTTGTTTATTTTATTAAGTTCAATTTTAATAAAATATATTGTGTTTTGGTATAAATTTCAAATGAATTCAAAATTTTTTTACCTAAATATTCTTCCTTAAATTATGCATTATTGATTGAAAGTTATATATCTAATCAAATATGTAAAGATGTCACTAGTTTCTCTCACTATCTCTCCATCTCTCTCTCTCTCTCTCTTACCTTCCCCATTTCTCCTCTATTTTCTCTCTTTATCTGTTATTGATAATTTATTCTCTTCAAATATGTAAATATTTGATTTATTTTTTCTCTCTCTCCTATTTTCTCTAACCGTTTCTCTCTCTATATTGATATCAAAATTATAACAAAATAATTATATTAATCAGTTACACTAATCAGTTAAAATTGTTTTATAATACACCAAACAGTTATTCATGTGTTTTAATAAATCTAACAGTTACTCATGCGTTTTAATAAACCAAACAATTACACCAAATAATCACACAAAATTATGACACTAACCCATCTAATAAACCAAACAATTACATCAAATAATTACATAAAATTATGATACCAACTCAATTTGTCATTCAGTAATCTACATAAACTAAATAGTTGCACTATTTAGTATAGCAGTATCATTTCACCAATTATATATATCAAATTTAGTATAATGGTAAAGTCTTTTGTATAATGATAAATCCAATTTGGTGTACATAATTAATGTAACTCTTTAATTTATATAAATAACTGAATGATAAATTGAGTTGATGTTATAATTTCATATAATTTTTTAGTGTAACTATTTATTTTATTAGAACACATGAGTAACTAAATAGTGTAATTTTATTATTGTAACGTTTATATAAGGAAAAAGATAGAGAATCTATAATATAAAAGAGAGTGGGCTTCAACAAGCCGATCGTACGGTCTTTATTCATCCAAAGACTCACAATACATCTCATTCAAATTCAAAAGTCCATATATTTTCCCCCTAAATCCATCTCATTCAACTTAACCCAACCCAACCATCACATCCAACCCAACGACTCTTCCCCAAATCTCTTCTCTCATCTCAATCTCTTCGCTCTCAGCCACTGCCAGAACCGGTCACGCTCAGTTTCGATGAGGTCCGGTGACAAACCCACCTCAAAATCAACAGCAACAAAAAATCATCACCGCAGTATCGGAGCCGATCGGTGAAGGTATCGCCAACCGCCATCAAGCGGCGGAGGAGAAGGCAATAATCTCCGGTTGCCAACCGCCAAACCCAAGTATTTCTCCCTCTTCTCTGTTTCTCTCTCTCTCACACACAAACAGACCCCCACAATCTCTCTCCCCCTTCTGTGCAACCCCTCACCCCCTACACCGTCTGCAAAACCAACCCACCAACCCCCACCAAAAAATCCACCCACGCACTCAGAGAAACACACACACACATAGCAGAACACTCCTATTTATAGGTAGTGTGGTTGTTTCGCAAGTGGTGAGATTAAACCATTAACGAAATTGAAGGGTTGGAAGTTCAGAAGAAACCTTTCCATGGTGATTTGCAGCGAAGATGTATTGATTCAACATTGAATTGGTGCAGTGAATCAGAAGGTGGGTAGCTTCAAAGCCAATGGAAGCACATTTCATGAAAAAGAGACTACAATCCAGTAGTTGTTTTTATTGGAGTCGGGAAATTAAAATTTTGTTATTCACTTTATAGATTCAAGGATTGTGAATTGTGTATGCCCATTCAATGAATTCGAAAAACTAGCTGATGTGAAAAGAAGCCAAAGATTATAGCTGCAAAGGGGAGACCCTGAATAGGTTTAAATAGTTTGCTGCCTTGTAATCCACAAAATTCCAGCTGAAGAAGAAATATGGCTGAAGTATTCCGACTAAAAGAAATCCAGCTGTGTGAGGCCAGCTAAAGTAGTCCAGCCGAAGGAAAAAAAACCAGCAAGACTAAAAATTTGGTTGTGCCTGTTGCACTATATAACTTGAAGTTTAAATTTAGGTGTTTTGGTAGGATTAAGACATAGGGTCAGTAAAAGACATAGGGATATATACTTGCAGCATGAACATAAATTCTGTTTGAAACAGCAAGTATATAACCACGTGCTTGAATGTTTGTGACAATGATTTATACTTGCAGCAGAATTTATATACTTGCAGCAATGTTTATGACGTGGTTCAGCATTGGGATATATACTTGCAGTTTAAATTTGGATTTGGGTATGGACTATGGAGAGGGAACGCATATGAAAACTATGTTAGTATATTAATCATAGATGAATTCACATAGAAACATTGATTACTTCGTAATAGCTGTAGTGAAAAATGGTTACTTTGCATATCTGACCTGTAAAGTCTGAAAGAAACTAGATTGTTCAAAGCTTACATTAAAATACAGCATCTTACATTAAAATGTCTTGGGGGAGTATATTACTTTTTAGAGATTCGATGGTCAAAGCTCAGAATTATAATGTTGGCTCTCCAAGTTAAAGTGGACATCCTGAGAGTAATGTGAAGGCTTTATGTGGTAAATCTAAAAAAAGTCAAGCCAAACAATTGGCTCTAGATGGGGATTTTGGTTGGTTTGTGCAATATTGTGTGGACACAGAGTAAACCCAAGAGGGGAAATGTTGTAAAATGAGCAAAACCCTTTTTATGTGGAGGGTTATAGATGGTTTAGACTTGGGGAATGGAGATGGGGTAAGGAGGTTGTGTAGGGTTGCGTTGAGTGGGGGGAATGAGGGGCAAGGGTTGTGGGTTGTGGTTTTTTTGAAGTGTTTTGTTGAACTTTAGTATGGGGTTGTGTGAGATAGTATTGTAGCTGCTCCAATTAGAGTTATACTGCATTTCAATATATTATGCCCAAGTTTGATGTTTTGCTTCAAAGAAAATACCTATAAGCAATTTCTCATGATTAGCAGCTTCGGTTTTATAGCTTTGGAATAAGCAGTCTTATTATTGAGTAGACTGGAGATTCATTCGTTGGAATCTTAGGATTGCTTGCAATTCTACTTATTGTATGATATTTACACACGAAACTNATACTTATTTGAGGAAAAGTGTATGGATAAGTTGTTTATTTTATTAAATTCAATTTTAATAAAATATATTGTGTTTTGGTATAAATTTCAAATGAATTCAAAATTTTTTTACCTAAATATTCTCCCTTAAATTATGCATTATTGATTGAAAGTTATATATCTAATCAAATATGTAAAGANTGGAGTTATTGGGTACTTTACGTATTGTAGTTTGAGGCTTGCAGTGATATTCAAATAATTCTCTGTTGTTCATGTATAGTTTTAAACTATATTTCTTTCTCATGAAATTTTTTCCTTATATTCTGATAGGATATAACATTTCCTTTTAGGTGTTCAAATAAATGCCCAATTTGGTTGAATTCTTATGTTCTTCAGCATGCACCTTAACAGTGAGTAAAACCTTGAACCAAAACTACCCCACATTGTATTTGTAAAATTTGTGAAATGATAAATATTCTATTTGACATAAAGTTTGAGACTTTTCGATAGTATAAATGCTAAGACTTTTTAACAGTATAAATTTGATGAGAATTGTTCATTGAGTTGTCTTCATTTTTTGTGAGCATTGACTGAGAGGTTTTGGTTAAATTGGTTGGTTTCTTTTCAAATTATATAATGTTAATTTTTACATTTGGCTATGTCACAGATTCACAGCATTGAATTGTTGTGAAGTTTGATTGAATACACATCCAATTTTGAGCTTCATGTTACTCCTCTCAACATAGTATCAGGGTAATCGTTATAAGGTGGTCATGTAATAAATTATTATCTTTTAAATTAGTTAACATTGTTCACACTTTCCTGTGAATGACACAGGTCAACTACTATATNACAGATTCACAGCATTGAATTGTTGTGAAGTTTGATTGAATACACATCCAATTTTGAGCATCATGTTACTCCTCTCAGCATAGTATCAGGGTAATCGTTATAAGGTGGTCATGTAATAAATTATTATCTTTTAAATTAGTTAACATTGTTCACACTTTCCTGTGAATGACACAGGTCAACTACTATATATAGGGCGTGTTCGATTTTTTTAATTGTACCGTGCCTTCAGGCACGGGTTATCTCTAGTAAGAAAATAAGAGAAGAGAGATGAAAAAATTAAATTAAATCTATATAATAAATCAGCTAAACATTTGAATTTTTATCCTACGTACATTTTCCCCCTTAAATCTCTCTCTGTCAAGTGTTCTTCCTCAAAATTCACCCTCTCTCTCCTTCCTCTCATCTGAGCGTCTTTTTTCTCTGTTTGTCCAAACAGAGACCCACCACGATTTGAATTTTGANCCCAAAATTCACCCTCTCTCACCTTCCTCTCATCCGAGCGTCTTTTTTCTCTGTTTGTCCAAACAGAGACCCACCACGATTTGAATTTTGAAACCATAGCTCTGTTCCTCACCACGATGGAGAACCACATGAAAACAGCACCACCACCATTACCACGATGGAGAGTCACATGAAACCATAGTTTCGTATCCTTTTTTTTTCTCCCTCTTTCACTCCCTTCTCTGTTACGCCATCTCCAGCACCACCACCATCGTGAGCGACACAGCAACCGCCACCGCACAGCCACAGCCACAACCATACCTCTCCCAGGTATCCTTTTTCTCTGCTTCTCTCTCTCTCTCTGCCCCTCACACACACACGGAAAAAAACCCGCGCCCAACCCCCACCCTATGCTCCTCTCTATCTCTATCTTTCTCGCCCATTCTCCACCACAATAACCCCACCCTAGAGCAACAAACACAACCATCACCCTCTTTCTGCACATAACATGTTTGTTGAAAAGCCTCAAAAAATCAGTCTCTAAGCATCCAAATGTTTTTGGCATTCAAAAATGTTTTAGGTATTCTAATTGATTTTCGATCTTCCTTGACTAACATTTCTACTGTAATTTTTTTTGCTGACCGATAGAGAAATTATGTGAATTTTTCATTGTTTCTGGCTTATAAATGTTGAATTCTTTTTTGAAGATCAGATTGTTGACGAACTCGACGAATCCCCTCATTGAGAACACTTCTTTTTACAAGTTTAAGAATAAAATGGTAAGACTATATGTTCTCCATTTTTGGTTGCCTTGGTTTTTTTCTACTGTTTCATCTTTACTCTTAACTGTTCATTAGTAGAGTTGTCATTAGTTTTCAGAATTATCCTAGACTAATGTTCTTGCAGTTATTTACTCCTTTGTGTTTATGGAAAATTCTGACCAGCGACGGTGCACTGGGAAGCTAGCGATCTCTCTCTAGCTCCGTCCTAGAGCTAGCGACGGCCAGCAAAAAATACTTCCTCCTCTCCAGCTAGCAATGTAAGGACAAACAAAGTGGTTTGTTGTTTTGTAGCATGGGTTTCTGCGTTTGTTGTAGATTTTGGCATATATATGTGTGTTTCACTTCTTCAAGTTGCACATTATGTCTGCTCTTTTATGTTGTGTATCTATGTAATGACCAATCTTTGTGTGGCATGGTTAAGTGCTTGAATGCTACGATAGATGTTGTATTGAGCATAGTATTAAATCAACTGGTGAGCTTTGATTTTATTTTTGTGCTTTATCATTAGTGAGCTATGCTTTAACTTTTTCGTGGTAAATGTTATCTCTGAGTATACTTCCCTTAGATGCTTACAGTGATGATAAATAAGTTCATTTGTTGTGGTTGTCTTATAAGTTGCGATAAGCAACTGCATTTAGCAATATTCTTTAATTTTTGATTTTTTGTTACAATAATAACTAGCAATTGGTGATATCTTATAGGAATTTATGGGATATTGTTTTGTGTGTTGCATGCATCGTGCTTGACAAAATGTTTTCAGGCACTCTTTATGCCGAGGGTTAGGCTTATCATAGTTTCCAAGCACATGGAAATGTTTTTGAGCACATTGAACTAAAGATTAACCATTTTTTTTTTTTTTTGGCATTTGGTTAATCTTTCGTCCAATGTTAAGTTTCTTATTAATTTGGTGTTCTTGATTTATTTTCTACAGGAGTCTTCTATCGCTCTCTATCTCTTGCACATGCAGCACCTGAACAAACAATAACACAAGTGCGAATTAGTTTTTTTTTTTTAACTAACTCTTCCTTGGAGTGTGTATTATTTTAGGCATTCTCAATCTTAGCTTTCAAATATTTTCTGTGTGCCATAGCATTGTGTTTATGTTTGGAGAAATGCTTTCCGGTGCATTCAGTTTAAATTGAGAATGCAATGGAAATGCAATATCAATCCAATTTGGTTTGAGCATTTGAGCTATAACTTCAACTCTACACATCAAGTTTTTTAGGACGCAATAGAAATGCAATAAATCATATTTGAATCTCTAATTTTTATCAATCCAATTTGTCTTTTACTTTATTACAGTGCTTTTGGAAAAAAAAATCTTAATTTTTATCAATTCAATTTATCCATCCAATTCTAATTTTTTAGTACACGTGCTTTCTGAAAAAAAAAAAAAAAAATTGGTTCATTTGTTGTTTTTTGGCTTTGCTCCTATTTTTTTTTCCTTCTTTTTATGAGTTTCCTTCTTTGTTTTTGCCGGGGTGGTGTACTCTAGTTACAATTGATGCAATTTGTGGACGAGCATTATAGGTCCATTTTGTAAGTCCACTAAATTACTGGGTTTGAAGTTTGATTTCATTAATGTTGGGTTCTAAATTTTGAGAATTGTAGGGTAAGCATTTTTGATGGCATTATGGTCCTAAGAAAGAGGGTTCAGATAAAAAACATTAAAAGAGATTTTATAGTCACTTCCACAATCTCTTGGATGATTGTGGTGAGAACATTGAAAAAAGAGATCTACAAATATCTCTATTTGTTTAGCTTCTGGTTGTTTTAGTTTTTAAGCAATTTCAACTTGGGAAGGGAAATACCAGTTTTGGATATTATTCTATTGTCGTGTGCGGGTTTTTCTTTGTGTAATTGGAGGAGTCATTTTATTTTCAAATTGTTGCCTTGCAATTATGTTTTCTGTGTGGTGAGTTTACTAGCCATGCTTCCATAATGAATCGTTCAACCATTTTTGCTAATGAAAGTTTTTTGTTTGAATATTTTTGGATCAATTTATAGTCTACATGGCTTTTCTATGTCGACATTTTGGTGTTAATACTTTGGTTCACTTTCATTACGAAGATCTCATCTTTGTCTCTATTTTTTGTTCTTGAAAATTTTAAAATTTTGGTGCGATAGATTTTATTAGTTTAAGATTATATTTTCAGAGAATATTCTGCCGAAAAATTGAAAGTTTCTTACAAAGTATCCATATTTTGACCTTTTTCATTTCACTAAAGTCATGACATTAAAAATAATCAAACAATTTTCAGCTTAATGCATGTTTATATTCATTGCTTGATTAGTTCATGTTTAAAAACTATGTACAGTGCCTTCAGACACGTGATATAAGACGAGTTTAGACTTTCAGTTTAGTACGTGTTCGAGTTCGGTACTTGATTATTTCACGTTCAAATTAAATGTTTGATTTTTTTTAGTTGAACCGTACTTTCAGACATGGATTATCGCTAGTCTTTATATATTTAAAAAAAATAAAGTATCAATGTGAGAGAAATAGATGGGGATAAAATAGGAAAGAGAGAGTGAAAGAGTATGGAGAGAGAGAAGGAGAGTAATGGAGTAATAAATGACATTTTAGTCTTAGTAGATTTAAAAATTAGACTTTATAATTTTAACCATTAATTTCAGTGTGAGTCTCAGCATTTATTGGGACTCACTACTTATTCAATAGTCGAAATTATCAAATTNTGATTTCAGTGTGAGTCTCAGCATTTATTGGGACTCACTACTTATTCAATAGTCGAAATTATCAAATTTAATTTTTAAGTCTAGTTTTTAAGTCTATCTAGCATTCCTCTTTTAAAAAAAAAATACACTTAGAGTAAAATAAGTTTTCTTAATGTAATTTAATTCAAATAAGTCTAAATTTTTGTATCAGCTTCCAAATTGTTCAAATTCGGTTTGTTTAGAACTCGAGTCAAATTTGAGTAGCTCAACTATTTTATATATAAACAAACTGAGTTTTATTAGTTTAAACCAAGTCTTTTAAGACTCATTTTTTTAAATGAATCTAAAAAATTGTTCAAACTCAATTTATTTATAACAAGAGTCAAGTTTAAATTTAGTNAAGTCTTTTAAGACTCATTTTTTTAAATAAATTTAAAAAATTGTTCAAACTCAATTTATTTATAACAAGAGTCAAGTTTAAATTTAGTCTTATCTGAGTTGAACTCAAATAGGTCCTCTCAATTAACCCTTAGTTGACGATGGCTAAGCCTTGACAGCCACAAAAGGAGCCAGAGGCTTTTTGTAAGAGAATCATGTTCCATCAATGTATGTGTGTGTGTGAGAGAGAGACAGAGAGAGATAGTTTACTTCCTTAAAAGTTAAAAGGGTCATCAAAAGTCCTTAGAGATTGTTGAAGATTGATTTAACAAATAATTTGGTCGGCCAGTATTGATTGAAGAATAAAATCCTGGTCCTGGTCTATGACCAAGGCCCTCTTTATAAGGGGCCATTGCTCTCTTCCTAACCACCAAATTCAAAAAAGTGTCTCACTTTTCTTGAGAACCATTGCTTTACTTATATGTGCCTCAATAAATTGAGTGATGGAGAATAGAAATGATGATATACAACCATATCATTAAAAAGATATATTGGGTTCACCATGACTTACATTATTTAATCTCCCCCCAATCCCTCAACCCAATAGAGAGAGAGAAATCATTTTCAAGGAAGACTTCTGAGAGTACCCAATAAAATGGATTTTCTCAACCAGTACTGATGAAACCTCTGTCTAGCATACTCCAAATAATCAAAGTCAATATGGTTCACATACGCCTGTAGAATAGAAAATGATCAATACACATCAAATCTTCATCCCTGTTACGGTATCGAAAAGTTATTTTTCGATAATATAAAAAAAATTACTACAAATTAAGATAGTGCTTATACTTCAATCTTAATGAAATTACAATAAAATGAGACCGTTTCAAATCAATCCTAAAATATTAATGTTATGATCGATCCCAATTTTTTTAGCCATAAACTTTTTTTTTCAACTTACATTAAGACGTAACCTCACCAAATTGACTTAGAATTTCACCCTTATTTTTATAGAATGTTTCAATACAATATCGACTTTGTTACCGTAAACTTCCCAATCTCTATTCAGGTAAGTATTGGCAGAAGGTGTGAAAATTCATACCGAGATAATACCCCATAAGCCCCAAAACAAATGGTTGGCAAGAGTGTACTTCNATATTAAGACGTAACCTCACCAAATTGACTTAGAATTTCACCCTTATTTTTATAGAAAGTTTCAATACGATATCGACTTTGTTACCGTAAACTTCCCAATCTCTATTCAGGTAAGTATTGGCAGAAGGTGTGAAAATTCATACCGAGATAATACCCCATAAGCCCCAAAACAAATGGTTGGCAAGAGTGTACTTCTCTGCATCATTGGCCAGCTGCTCTACTTCAGTTTCACTTGGTTCATTGCCTACATCCATTATGGAGAAGTCAAGAAGTTTTCTTCAGAATCACACATTTTTTTCAAAAAATTAGCCTCAAAAGTCAAAAATTTGTTATATTATTCAAAGCAAAACTGAGCCCACAAAAGAAATATCGTTTGTGCAGGGTAAGTTTTCAGTCAGTTTCATTAGATTAGACAAAATGCTTGTTACTGGATANATTTTGTTATATTATTCAAAGCAAAACAGAGCCCACAAAAGAAATATCGTTTGTCCCCCTTCAGGGTAAGTTTTCAGTCAGTTTCATTAGATTAGACAAAATGCTTGTTACTGGATAAGGATAAGGGCATCTTGTTTAAAGGTGTCATAGTCATAGAGGAAGGCCAAATGTTAGGTACACACAAACCTTATGCTGTTAGAGTGGGAATGGACCATATTTACTAGGTCCGAAAAACAATGGGTTAATTGCTATTTTCAAACATATGACAGAGAAGTTTTAGTAGGATTTGATGAATCAGATTTATTAAAACTATGTTTTCTAGTTGGATTAAGATTAGGTTAATAACGGACGTCAATATATATGTTGTAACTTTTTGGATTTTGATAGATAGTGCAAACCAGCCGCCTTGATGGACTTGTTTTTGATTGTTTATCGCACTGCACGTCCACAACATTAAGCTTAGCAGAAATCTATGGCTTGATATTAACTATGACTGAAATTTTACTAGGAGAATTGGCCTTTCTTCTTTGCATGTATAAACATCGGAAGCTGTGCAATGTGTATACACATCTTGCTTTAGATGAAAAGAAACTTTAAAAACCAAATTCTCAACTCAACAAAACTTCATCCCAGTTATTTGAAGTCAGTTTCATAAATCACGTTTCTCCATTGTGTTCTATCAAGAGACATATTTTTCATTAAACCGTCACCAAAATTCTGCTATTTGATAAAGGTCTAAACCAAACGGACTAACCTGAAGAACTGAGATACCTGCGCACAAATCTGTGGCGCTCTTCGGCACCTATTGTCAAAAGGAGAGAAAAAGAGCAAAACTAATTTAACACCAAGTCTGCAGATTTATTTTTCATACAAATCTAGATGGCAGTGAAGTACAAAGAACACAATGCATAAACACTTTAGCAGTTTCTTACCTGGATATATGCCATAGTCTAAAATATGAGGTGTGTCAGTGTGATAATTGGCTACCATCTCACAGAAATGGTTTGCAAGGTCATAGGCAATAGGATTGTAACTAGCATACTCATAATCCTGCAATTGAAACAAATATAGGGATCAAAATTGCAATATGAAACGTTTACGAATATCTTTCTGCAGATAAATTCTTCTGTCACAATACTAATAAGCAGTTGTATAGCTATAAAACAACAGCTCAAATTGTCCATGCAGAGGGGCACATATTGATTTAATGCAAAATCGCAGAAATTGAATCTTGATAAATTTTATAGCTATAATTTAGACAAGTTTAACATAGTGGAATGAGCAGAGAACCTACAATTAGAGTGATGGAACTTGTCTTTTCGTCGATCATTATGTTACCATATTGCAGATCATTGTGACCAAACACGATTTCTTGATTGTCATGCGACAACTCCTCTTCCAGTGTATCGATTTCTTCTGCCATCATATCCAAGCCAAATTCCTTTGCATGTTCAGGTGAGCTCAAACATTTGGCCTCATTAAGCCATTTTCTGAGGAAGAATATAAAGTGTCATTACCACCATCTTCAATCTTAAAGGGAAATCTTCAATTTTTGATAGTTGATCAATACCTCATTCTGTACCAGAGGACAACATTCTTTGAACCAGGCATTTCAAGATTATGAAATTCTTTCATTTTAGCTGCTATCAGAGCCGATATTACTGGATCACGAAGGTCACCTGCTGATAGAGTCTGAAATTAAAGATGGTGAAAAGCCATTATCAGGAGATAATCGGTAAGTTTGCTAGACAATTATAGTGGCAAAACTATATTTTTTTCGTGTTTTCAAAATACTCAATACTGTTAACCAACATGTTAACTAATTCATTACAATAAATTGGATCGGATTTTGTAGCTTTTTCTTCTGTAGGATTAGAGAAAAAGGAATACTGAAGGACCATCATTCCAATGAGCAGGTTAAGCTGACCATGATTAGAGAAAAAGGAATACTGAACACATGAAACAGTGGAAAATGAGCAGGTTAAGCTGTTCCTTCTTGAAGAATTACAGTTAAACTTAACTCAGATGAAAAGACTCTTGAACCATACTACTAGTTTAGTATCCTTCAACGATTGCCAATACAACAACTTTGAACCATGATTATTCTTTTAAAAGTACATCGGCGCCATTGATTAAACAATCATAATCATGATTTTGTTATGCTGAAGGACCATCATTCCAATAAATCATCAAAAATCTGTCTTAATCCATCTTATCAATGAAAAAGCCAAAAGTTCTAATAGCTCTGATCACACCTCCCTCACTTTACACCACTTAATCTACTTTGAAAGATGCTTGATACCTTTATTGAAGTGGCTTGTAAATAATTGTACTGATTGAGAAATGGATACATGGAATCATCATCATGCATAGCCTAGCTAAGATGGTTATTTAAAAACTACCCTGAAGCGGTCAATGGTAAAATTGTTTTATCGTGGCTTAAGTATCAAAGATTCGTGTNGATGCTTGATACCTTTATTGAAGTGGCTTGTAAATAATTGTACTGATTGAGAAATGGATACATGGAATCATCATCATGCCTAGCCTAGCTAAGATGGTTATTTAAAAACTACCGTGAAGCGGTCAATGGTAAAATTGTTTTATCGTGGCTTAAGTATCAAAGATTCGTGTGGACTTAGATTGCATATACATCTCACACTTCTCAGACCCTAAGGTGGTGGGAGTCTCGGTAAGTCGGTGCTCTGAAAGGAACAATTAACAATCAGATGTGAAACATCAAGGTAGTTATAACATAAAGGTCACCAATTTTCAGAAAAACGCATACCCCACTATCAAGTTATATCTCCTTACTTTCTGACAGATCAAAAACATAGACTGNCGCCAATTTTACCCCACTATCAAGTTATATCTCCTTACTTTCTGACAGATCAAAAACATAGACTGGAATTCTCAAAAAAAAAAAAAGACTTTATAAATTGTCAAATTTGGCATACCCTGGCATGGATGAACTCCTCAACCCGACCCTCCGGGAACTGCCCGAGAAGCCTCGGTCCATGGCCGTGCTTCGATATGCACTCGAAAGTTTGAATCTCATCGTCCCGGTTAAAGAAAAGGTCAACACCTTCTCCATAAATACGAACTAAAACGGTCCGAATGTCATCTTCTCTCTTTGTAGGCCAGCTTATTTGATAAACGTCATTAGTCATAGCACCACTTAAGTGGATCACTTTCAACTTGTCCATATCAATAACATCCCCCCAATTCGAAGCCAATGACAAAAGTAACTTCATTAATTCCTCCGGTAAACTACCCTCAACAAATCCATTTCTCTTCACTGCCATGAAATACCACTAAAAAAAAAAAGCTTCACCTGAAATAAAAATAAGCAAAACTCCAGTTGAAAACATCATTTCAACAGTATCATCTTCAAGAAACAAGAAATTTGATCAAAACTAAATACCCATATGGATTATTTACAGTAAACCCATTTGATAGAGATCTTCAAAGAGTAAAAAACTGAGAAGAATCAGCATAAACCTTGGGAGTTTTTTGACAAAAGTCAGAACAACATTTTAACAGCATCATATTCAAGAAAAAAATAATGAATTGGGTCAAAACTAAAATAACCATAAGCGTTTGATTTACAATAAACCCATTTGAAAGCGATGTTCAAAGATTGAAAAACTGAGAAGAATCAGCAGAAAGAAAATGAAGAACTCGCCAAGAAAAACCCAGAAAAATTGCAGAGCTGAGAATGATTGAAGCCTTGAGTTTTTGACAGAAGGACAAAAAAGGCAGAAATGAGATCAACAGGCCTTTGGTCTATGAAAATTTGAACTCAGAGGTGGACAAAGATGTAGTTCTATATATAGAATTTACGTATAAAGACCAAGAATCTACTTTTCCGCCTTACAAAATTAGAAATTACCGAAAATATCTGACGTTTTGATGGGATTTGTGTGGGTTATATCGGGTTTGTATCTTGTTGTATATTCAATTTTTTTATTTGAGTTATGTCGAGGATTTTTTTAATTAATTTTATTTTCCCACCGCATTGGCATATCGCGTGATATACATGTTCACTTATCACGCATCTGGAAGAACCTAAATGAATATAGACAACCAATAGGAACAGGACACGTGTTAATGAGAAACTGGGCGGACAACTCCCGGGCGGGAATATGAGAGCAACAAAGTGGGGATGAAGTAGACGGCCAAAACTAACAGGATAACGGAACTGTCGGTAAATCGGAATTTATCAAACTATTGGAATTTAACACGTGTAATTTTTGGATTGGCTAATTGTACACACTGACTTTGACTCTTACGAGTAACAATTACTTAGATTGGTAAATTGTCTTTGCTCGCTAAATGCATGATTAGATGCTTTTTAATTAATGGATTCAAGTACGGATAATAATTATAATAATATCATATTATTTATTTAGTTCTTTTTTTTTATCTCTTTTTTTTATCACTATAGGAATCTATCTAATATTATAGTTCAAAAATTAAATTTTCAACTTATAAAAGCACAATAACATTTAAAATTGATTTAATTTTTATTTACTTTAATCCAATAATACAAAATTCATTTCAAAAATCATTTTTCTGTTCAAAAAACTTCATTTTCATTACAAAAACCTCAATGTTAGACAATCCACCAATTTACATATTTACCTCTCTTCTTCACCTATCTCTTTCTTATTTTATTTTTATTTGTTTTATTTTAAATTACTTGATTAAAATAAATAAATTTTAAATATTATACGATCAATGTTTAATTTTTATTATTACAAAAAAATTTTAGACACAAAATTATTATTAGTATTCTATATCCAATGATGTAAACCTATAGAATTGTGATCAATCAAATATTGCAAACCCCCGACATTTATTACAACTCAAAATTGGACCATAATGGAATTTCGGTCTATATCGACACCATAATATCAGATTGGAGAGAAAAATCAAAATTAGAGATTGATAAAAAAAAGCAATGATATGGGCTCATGTGAGTAGATTCTAGTTCTATCATCAGGTATGGGATTGAATATAAGAGAAATTTTACAGAATGTTTGTTATCCTGAAATTTTTTTGTCTTTGGAAGAAGTGATATGTTACGAAGCCGTCTTATTGAAAATAACAAGAGCATCTTTGAATATTCAAAGTTTTATATCTAAAGCGAGTTTTTAAGAAATTGCTCAAGTTTTAGCAAAAGTAACTTTCGGGGGTTGTATCGATTAGTTGAAGGGCCTGAAAGAGAACGTTGTTCTGAGGAGATGATACCGGATTCAAAAGATTAGTGCACCCTTCAAGGCAACATAACAATATTCCCCTGGAAAACAAAAAGAAAAATCTATTTGAGGGAGAAATGAGAGATACTTTGTTCCACCACAGAAAATTATTGGGTTCTTGCATTTCAAAGAATTTCCATGATATATCAAACAATCATTTATAGGGTTTAATAATTCTTAAGAGTGGATTCGTCCTTTTAACTATTTGTATTTGGTCCGTCCATTTTATTTAGTAATAAAGATAATAATGAATAGAAAAAAATAAATGTGTATCTATGGTCAATCTACAGTAGAAGAGAAGGTTCCATCAGAACAATTATTTATTTCGAGGTGCCTTGTCTCTCCTTTTTTTTTCATAAGGTTGACACTATCATTAAAATACTCACTGCCCCCTTTAAGTGGACAAATAGAGCGGTAAGTAAGAGTGTTAATCGAGCCGAACTTTACAAGCTTGAGTTTGAGTTTGGCGAGTTTATTTTTTTAACAAGTCTAAAAAATTGTTCAAATTTGGTTCGTTTAAAACACGATTGGAGCTTAAGTAGTTCAACTATTTTACACATAAACGAACCAAATTTTTTGAGCTTGACCGAGTCTTTTAGGCTCATTTTTTTAAATGAGATTAAAAAATTATTCAAACTCGACTCGTTTAAAATAAAAGTCAAGTCTGAATAGTTTGTCTCGATTAACATTGGGTCGGGTTTCAAATCATTTTCTCTTTTTCTTGATATGAAATGATTAGATTCCCAAGAAAAGTCCCCAAAGCTCAATGGACGGGGAAGACCGAAGACTGTAGCAAGAACTTTTGTGAACGGTGGAACCCGTTAATGATGGAACCCATTCTAGCAGTAGAAGGTTGTGGTGCCACACTAAAACATAAATATCTATAGTTAATTTTAAATTAAATTGTTTATAATTATTATTCAAGAAAAAAATCAAAGTAATAAAACATAACAAAGTAAACTTTTGTCCCACATGATGCATTTTATTAGAAATAGAGTAACCATACGATACCAATTATTAATATTTTAGTATTAATGATGTAGATCAAATTATAACACAATACTGGATTGTTGGGATCGACGTAAAACGAGCTTGGGCTTATCAAATTGTTTGACTTTTTTTGTACCCAGTTCCACATACATGAGTTTCAAGACAGCAATATTCACTCAAAAATGACTTGACAAAATGAACTCATTGCAATAAACGATGATGGATTTCGAATAAATTTTTTCGTTTAGGACTTGAAAAACTCATTTTTGTCGTTTTCTAATAACTTTTTGTAGCTGAATAACTTATCCGTCTAAAGTTAGAATTAATTTTGATCACTTCTGTCTAAATCCTGATGATTATTAGTTTTTAGTCATATGATTATATTGGAAATTTTCTTTTTTGGCAAAATTTGTAATGGTTACCTAATTATCTAGATATTAATTAATAATATTAAGAGTTTTTTTCTATTTTTTCCAATTCTTCTGATATTCTTATGAATCAACAAATTTATTGAAACTTTTATCACTGTTATTCTGTATGAATCAAAAAGTTTAGTGTAAATTTCTGAACTAATATTTTTTCGCAAATCAATGATTTAATTTCATTATATTTTTTGACCATTTTTTATTCATAATATTCGCACTTTTACACACTTTCCTATATCAGTACCATAATGACAATCCTTGGCCCATATAGAATACAAGAATGTCATTTTCAAATGACTTTGGTATTTGAAATTGTAATGATGCAGCTTTGAATACTCCATGTTGTCAAAAGATATCTTGAAATGGGGACATTACATGTTCCATCATTCTCCAACCAATGGTTTGCGCAAGGATAAGACGTTTAAATCGGGAAATAATTCAAATATTGTATAGTAAAAAAAAAGTGAGTTTTTTTTTTTTTTTTTTTGATTGGCTATTTGGTTAATTTTTTAAAAAAAGAAAAAAAAATTGTGATGTTTAAATTGGTAGTCTTGAGGTAGCATCACTCTATGATAGATAGAATCTACTTAATCAAGCTAATAAATACCTTACTATGGATAATTTTCTTCCCCAATTATTATTATTTTGTTGAAGCGTCTTCAATTCTTATTCTTTTTTAGACCCAAATTTAAATTTATTTGAAAACAGTTCAAAAACATCTCCAATCCTATACTCAAAATCCAAACCAAATAAAGAGAGTCAATTTTTAAATCAAATCAATAGAAATTCAAACATTTACTCAAATCACTGATAGATCATTCTCTTTTAAAGTTTTAATTATCATATTACACTTTTCTTTGAATTTGAGTTTGTACTTACAATCAACAGAAAGCCTCTCCTGGATTACCTAGCTTGCCAGCTAGTCTGCCACAATGTTGGCTTCCCTATACACATGCCTTATCTCAAAATCTCCTCACAATTTACGATTTATGTAGATATTTGTGTATATATCTATATATAGAGAGAGAAAGATAGATAGAGACAGAGAGAAAGGGTTGGCATGAAGAAGATGGAAGAACAGCATTCCATCTATACAGGCAAAAATTCCCTTTTAGAGGTATATATGTGTGTATATATCTACATTGAAATGTGGAGAGAAAGAGAGAGGTAATACCTTCAACAATGGGGACCAATAAGCCCCGTTTGCTGTGGGAGGGGACCAGGTTGAAGTGGAGACAAAATGGGATAAAAAAAACCTAAATTTTTGTACTGTTACGGCTTTTATGTAATTACACCTACTATCCTATTGATGGCTTAATTATCCCAAAGTTCAGGTGGGATAAATGGGTGAATTCCTACAGGTCGAACAATTATCCCATCAAAAAATTTGGATCCAAACCTAAAATTTATGGGGCTCCCGACTTTTTTAACTCACATTATCCCACTTTATCCACCCAAACAACCCCCCCGCGAAGGGACTACCATCGGTTGGATTGTGCTGGGATTGCCTACAACCACAATATCAGTCAAATTGTTGGCCCGGCCGGCCACCCTATCTGAGTCCGAAAATGTTGGTCCAATACCAGATCACCCGGCCCATTTCAACCCCTTCAAGAACGTATCCATTTACCATCAACTTGAACACTCAAAATCCATCGCCCAAGCCCTTCTGCTTTTGGTCTTGACATTGGGCCGAGACCAGACATTCCGGGCGCAACCAGAAGCCGATTAAGCTTTTACACTTGAGCCCAAGGTTAACCACAGTTCATGCCAAGCGAAGTTCACTCACCCATTGAAGTCTGCAACAAAATAAACATCAGCTTACATTAAGTCTCGTGAAATGAACTACTTCAAGTTGGAGGTAAAAGCCTGATGGACACAAGCCATGCTGCACTTGCCTCATACTAATTAAGGCCTCGCTGTAGTTTCTTCTGCTGGGCTTCGTTAGTCCAGCCCAGTTAGTCACCCAGAGAAGCCCATCACTTTTTGGGCCCAGCGTTCTGGTTTTAGGAATACAACTACGACGGGTTTGAAATGTCAATCTATGTTATAAGATATTTATTTCAATTTTAACCCGAACTCTCCAATTCAAGTAAATCCGAAGCTTA